AAGATTTCTAGGAGTTTCGAAGGTAGGTTGATGAATTAGTGGATAAGGGATTGGTAAAGGAAAGCATGAGTCTATATAAGGTTCCATTTTTGTTGGTGCCAAAGAAGGATAAAATTTGATGGATGTGTATTGACGATCGAGCCATCAACAAAATTGTCGCCAACAATTGATTCCTCATTCCGAGACTTAACGACTTGTTAGACCGAGTTGCACAATTCTATAATCTTCATATAGATTGATTTGAAGAGTGGATAATGTGTCCGATACAAGAAGAAATAGCTACTCGGTCATGTGAAACCATTTGAGCCTCCAAACGATATTTCATATTCTAGTCTTAAAAACCGATCTAAATCCTATTCAAAATCCAGATCGGTTATGGAGTTTAATTCATATTTTAAGTTTCAAAACTCCAATTGATGCAATATTAAGTCTATGCAATACCTAAGAGGCACACCTACAAGTCTTATGAAAGATTTGAATCTAAAATAGGTCGATACTATGGAGGAATTCAACTACAAAATGGACTAAGGCTAGGCGAATAGATTGATTCTATGTCAATGTTTAGCTCATAACTTACACTCGTATATATCAAATTGATGCAAGACATAATGTGTTGGAAATATAAGACATAGGGATACAACTTTGATGAAGAAAAAAAACCCTAATTCAGCCTTTATCAAATCCATTCAAGTCGATTATTCGGAGACATAGATTGTTATGCAATTCCATATGAAAAGGAAGATTTTTTACATGGTTTGAAAGCAATTCCACATGGTCAAAAGGCTTTTACATAGGATGAAGCAATAAAAGACATGAGATGAAGTGAAAAAGGCACAAGACCATATGCCTTAGCTAAGAACCCATGTGACACTTGGAGACAACTAGGACTATATTGTAATCGTATCTTTTGCTATAAATAGCAAAACTAGGGTATTATTTAGCTCTATTTCAATCTCTTCTCCTAGCAGCCCACTATTCATAGGAATTCTCTCTTTGTATTATGAACAACTAAACTCTATTTTTGTTTGAATCAAGTTGAAGCTTTTGGTTAATCGTTATGAAATTACTTATTTTATTTCTAAATTTATGTCTAATGGGTATTTTATGTTTTTCTACATGATTAGTTCATAGTTGTATGATTAATTCAAATGTTAGTTATTTATTCATATTGCTTATTGCTAGCTAAGTATTCAAGTCCATGTAATTGCTTGTCTAAACTTACCTATGGTAGCAACTAGGGATTGATGATTAGTGATGTTTTTATTCAATTCTTTAGAAAACATAGAACTAGGTTACATCTTCGCTAGTGCCTAGGAAGATAGCTTAGCTTCACTTCGTCTTTCTCATCTTAATGCTCGTTATTGGATTAAGTCTATCCGATGCTTAGTAGGTTGTTCAATAGCTAGGGAATTAACCGGTTATCATATATTCGGTTAACGACTAGGTAAGGAAAGACCGAAGTCAACATACATGTTGTTGTCTTATGATGAATATTCATGTTAGGATGAGTTAATTATTTAATCAATGATCAATGACCAAACCAAAAGTGGATACTGAATTTTAACTAAGGTTTTATTTATCATTTTTATTTTAATTTACTTTAATTTTTTTCAAGCATTCCCAATATAAAACCCCCTCTTACACGATAAAAACACTTCATCAAAAGAAATGGTCAATTAAACCTCCTTCTCTATGGGTTCAATCCTTACTTGTCCTAATTATATTATTATGATTGAAAGCTCTGTAAGAAAAAATATAAATTACTAATTTGTTGGTGGTATGACACATCATCAATGTGTTGTGGTTGAAAAGTTCAAAACAAGAAAAAAAAGGGCACGAGCAAGTAACATTACACATGGGTTGTGCCCTAAATCCATACATGCTCGTATGTCCCATGCTCACCACTTCAACCTCTAAGGAAAGATAGAGACATAGGCGGAATAGCCATACACGGGATGTGCGATATAAAAAGCATGATGAGAGTGCCTCCGATTACTCTTTCATCCATCACCTCTAACTTCCTTTTGAGTGCTATAATTTAGATTTGATATCTTATCCTTACTCTTTACATTTCATATGTTAATGATCATTTCTATGTTTACATTGAGTATAATGTAAAATTTAAGTATAGGGTAGGATTTAGGTTTGATTATATTATTTGTATATTTATGATTGTATGTTTTGTGTTTAAATTTTTTTACGTTATTTATCTAAAAAAATGACAAAAGAATGGAATGAATGTTGTTATGTAGTATGTTATCCTTCTTAATTGATGGTTGATAAAGAGTTTTAATAAAATCTTATGAGAAATTTGAGATAGTTTCAAATATTATTATTGTGAAAGTGCATGCATGATGAATAACATAAGAGTATTCATCATAAATGTTTACTCTTGAGTTATGAGTATGCAAAACACTCTAAGTTCGTGACTTACCGAGTAACCACTTGCTTTCATTACAAATATCGGTAGTCACGTAAAAAAGACGAGTGATTAACTAGGAAAGAGTCGTTAAAGGTATTGAAAAAGGATTGGAATGGTAAAGAAAGAAAAATTTTAAGAAAAGTAAATCTTGGTTTACTACTTTAGCTTGTAGTAATGGAGAGGGGTGAGGGCAAAATAAGTATTGAATGCTTAAATTATGATTGATTATAAAGACGCATAAATCGATTTAGAGACATGCATGAATATGAGAATAATATCTTTAAACATGATCGATTTGATCGTTTGTTTTTGTTGAATTCCAAATTAAGAATCAATGTTTAAAGGATAATCATACCGGCATGACATTCATTTTAGATTTTATAGGTATATCTTTAAAAAGCCTTAATAGACTCAACTCGTCCACTAGGGGGTAACCTAGGGGTTTAAAAGCTTATTGCATATGTTAAATATAATCATGATTCATACGAAAGTGAGTTAGGTTTCTTTTTTATTTGTTTTGCTCGAAAACTAGCAAAGTTTAAATATGAAGGTATTTGATCAGTACTTAATTTATACAACTTTTATGCCTTTTTATATTAAACTTACTAGTGTTTATTGTATTATATTAAGGTAATTAAGAACAAGATAATGATTTTAGATTTTTTGTAGGAGTAAATAAATCCAAACCAAAGTGCATAAGAAGCCAAAGTTACAAAGGAACCAAAGAAGACATATGGTTGTTTGACTTACAAGAGGAAAAAATTATTGGTCTTGTAAAAAAAAAGAAAGAAACTATATGGATGTTCAACAAAAAAAAAACACACTAGCAAGTAATAATCGACACGACTTGAGTAGAAGAAGTGACATGCCCTTGTGCGTCAATGCCGAGATGTCTTCTAAGGAGAAAGAAATGACACATAGGTAGAAGCTAAATGACATCGGATGAAGAGCAAATTAGGCATGGTTGTACACGAGTTGTGTACTATCAACTCTTCAAGGCTCCAAACCGTATGAAACAAAATAGCAAGCCGTGTGCCACAACAAAAAAACCATATGTCAGCATGTGACGGCTATGTGTAAATTGTAACCTTACCTTTTGCTATAAATAGAGAAGTTAAGGTTTCACATTATTGATTTTAGGGATTCCCCCATTCTTTCAGCCACTATAGATAGGAATTCTCTCTTATAAGCAAACCATGTATCACTAAGAATCTTTCTTGGTTAAAGAAAAGTTGAAGCCTTTGGTAAAATCTTTGTGAGATCTAAATGGGTTTTATCTCTAATCCTATTCATTTGAGTATTTTATTTTTTTCTATGTTATATGAATATGGTTGTATGGTTGATTGATTAGAGTGCATCCTAGTTGATGAATCATTATAATCTATTGCTAGCTAAGTATTCAAATCCATACTTACTTATCTAAACTTGCTTGTGGTAGCAACTAAGAGTTAAAGATTATAAATGGGTTTTCGTTTAATTTCTTGAAAAATATAAAACTAGATTAAATTCTTGTAGCATCTAATAGAGTTGTTTAGCTTCACCTATATTTCTATCATTTAATGCTATTATTGGATTAAATCTAGATAGCGTCTACTACGTTTTTAATAGTTAGGGATTAATCAAATAGCATCTATTTGATTAATGAATCATTAAGGAAAGATTAGGGATAACATACATCTTGTTGTTTTATGGTGGATATTCATAATAAGAATAGGTTAATGTCCGAATCGATGATCAACAATTGACCTAAAAGTAGAAACCAGTCTTTAACCAAAGCTTTCATTATTATTGCTATCTTTACTTTGGCTACATTTAATACTCTTAACTCATAAACCCCCTCCCGCTTTTACCTTTCCTTGTACTTTAGGATAATCGGAAAATAAAGAATTTTGATTGAACTAATTCTCTATGGGATCGACCCTTACTTACCCTAACTATAGTCCCGTGATTGGGTTCGGTAAGGAAAAAGAAAATAATTAAAATTTGTTAGTGATACAACACGCCACCGGGCAATTTGTCAAAACAGATCCTTTAGTTTTCAAAATTTTTTACAATCGCGCCTTCTAATTTCTTTCAATTATGTCTTTAATTCCTTCCATTTTTTTTTTCAATTCAACCCCAAATAGCTTCCAATTTCAAGCTACGATTTAATACAATTATGCCCTTAATTAAACATGTTTTTTAATTTTTAATTTTTATATTTTTTTCTTATTTTCGTATTTTTGATTCCTTTTTTTTCTTTTTTTCTTTTTTTGGTTCCTTTTCTTATAATAATAAATCCTAAAATTAAGCATAAAATAAATCATGAAAAATAAAAAATATTATAAATAAAACCAAAAGGAATAAAGATAGAAAAATTAATAGAAAATAAATAAATATAACCTAAAACTTGGGTTATGACATATATCCTACCTTATTTCAAACTACACAAACACACCGATAGTCCCCTAAAAAAAAAAAAAAAACCCATAGCCGACACTTAACCGAAAAACTCTAGTATCTAGCCATAAAAAATAAAAAATAAAGAAACCCAAAAAATTGACAAGAATAAATAAAAGAGAGGAAGGAAGAAGGAAGGATGTCGTTTGATACCGCTTGCCACTCGCTACCTCTACTAGAGACACACGTTGCACCATCCAAATCGGCTAAAGAAGATAATGCTAAAGCCACCAATCCCCCACCTATTCAATCCCTCAATACATTGCATGCATGTGTGTCGGTTTTCGATCATCGATTTGATACGTGTGTACGAGCTCTCTGTACTTTCCCAATTTGCTTATTTCGTGTAGTTTAGCCGTTGATCTTATCCCTCTTGCTACAACGAGTCCCGAAACTTCAATTAAGGTGTATATATCCTCATAATTATTTAATCCCGATTTAACTAAGTCTAAATTCTATGTGATGCATGACTCGTTTCTTATTTTTGTTTACATATAGATGCTATTATTTATGTGGTCATAATAAATTTTGAATGATCTAACAAATTTGAATTACACAATTTGGATTTAATTGAAAACAAACCAATTGAAGGTCTTTGACGATATTTGACATAGTGGACAAAATGCTAAATCTGTTTTTGTGTGGAGGTTTTGAGGTGAGTAGGTTTATAGTTTAAATTCTTTTATTTTTTCTAATTATTATTATTATTATTAAAAAATTAGTTTTTTTTTTTAAAATCAAATTTTGAACTTTTAATTTGAGTTTTGACCTTCTTGAACTCTATTTTTTATTTTTTTTAGATTTAGTGTGTCTTTCAATTTTTTTTATTATTTATCAAAAAAAATAATAATTATTATATAAATAGTTTCATGATAGAAATCATTTTGTGAGATTTATTTAGAGTTTTCAAAAATTTTGGAATCATTATGGGCTATTTTCTATATTATTATTATTGTTGTTGTTGTTGTTGTTATTGTTATTATTCTAACGATGGTTGACTATGTAATATATAATTTTCTTATTTTGCTAAATAAAGTTCTCAAGGAACTCGTTAGTCGATGATGAACCTAGCAATAGTCTAATATTTTCTTTTTCCTTATGGTGGGAAAGTAAAATTGATCGAATAGGCCAATGATCTTGTAGAGGCCAATTATTTTTCGTGGAATTATCTAATATGTGAAATTGTGTTTTTGCGTATTTGTTTGAGTGATGTTAATTTAGGTCGGTCTAAATAAAGTAGGGTTAAGACTTGAGATCGATTTTATTCGAATAAAGTAGATTTTTTTCATCTTATATTTTAATATTTATTTTTATTATAATTATTACTATCTTTGTTATTTTGTTAAACTTTAATTTTATTTTCTATGTGCCACTACTTTTATCTTCTTGCAAATTTGATCCTAAATCAGCTTATGAGTTTTTGGTCTCAATTATTTATTTTTATATAGTTTGGTAGGCTGAAATAAGCTCAAGGCCCATGTTTATATTGTTTGGACTTTTTATATTATGGACTTTTTCTTGTATTATGGTATGATTTGACAAGAGACTTGAGCTTATGGTCTATAGTCATTTTATTCGTATGTACTGTGTTAGGACTTAGCTTTCCAATTTGCTGATGGGCCTTAAGTCCTACTATCCATTCTTCTAATTAGGTTCCATTAGCTCAATAATAACTTAAGTGAGAAATTGAGTTTTGGTTTAGTTTTTAAATCACCTTACTTAAGACTCATTTGAAAAGTTCAATAATCAACTCGTAAATCAAGATGAAAAATAGACATATAATTAATATTTTACATGAAAAAAATTATATATTAGAATTAAATGATAATCTCATTATGAGAGCATAATAGGGTGACCATTGTATTTTCTAGTTATATAATTAATCTTTTAGTCATAACTCTTAAGTAAGAATTCTTATGTAATCAACCCTCTAGCCATAATAGGGTGATCGTTGTATTTCCTAGATATGTATTTCCAATTTGCCAATAGGCCTTAAGTCCTACTATCAATTCTCCTAATTAGGTTCCAATAGCTCAATAATAACTTTAAGTGAGAAATCGAGTTTTGGTTCAGCTTTTAAATCATCTTACTTAAGACTCATTTGAAAGGTTCCATAATCAACCGATAAATCAAGATAAAAAAATAGACATATAATTAATATTTTACATAAAAAAAATTATACATTAGAATTGAATGATAATCTCGTTATGAGAGCATAATAGGTTGACCGGTGTATTTCCTAGTTATATAATCAACCCTTTAGCTAGAACTCTTAAGACTAGTTTGCTATTTTTTTTTTTTTAATTGCCAAGAGGTCATCGTTTAACAATAACCTCTTGATCATGTCTAATTAGCACCAAATTCTCGCTAATTCTTTGTCATCACCTATAAATTTGATTCCTATTTAATAGAACTGCTATTTCTTGTGTCTGTCTGTCTACTCGCATAATTTAATCAGGTCAATAGTCCATACACTTTGAAATTTTGCATCAAAAGCTGTTAATTTCATCGTCCCTTCTTCACAGAACTTTCTAATTTATTAGGTCTAGACCAGGTGTTGAACCTGGTTTAGGGTTAAGTTTGGATTTAGTATTGAGCCTAGATTGGATATTGACATAGTAGCTTTTATTTCACCGCTTCTCTTAATTTGTTAGACTAACAAGTTCAAACTAAAATTTGCATATAACAATAACCAAGTAGAGTTGTAAAATAAAATAATTATAATTACAAATTTTGCTGGAATAGGATTTTTCTAAATAACAATTTAAGAAATTCAATTCAGGAAAAAGCTGTTCGCCGAACTTGCCATTGTTACTGCACTTTCTTATTCATAATTGTAACAGGATTTTTGCCTCGTATTTTTCTCATTTGGTCCTTTAGGTTTCTTGTATATTCGAACTTGGTTTTTAAACAATAAATATCTTGCAATTTAGCCCAATTGCTAATGAATAATTAAAAAATATTTATTTTAAACGTCAATACCTATGACCAAATTTAATTTATTTGTAAAAAGTTTCGATCATACTACATTTTTTTTTTTTTTTGCATTTCTAAATATTATTCACCAAAAGAGTATTTATTTCAAAAAAAAATATAATAAATAATTAAAATTTTTTGAAAACTTCAATTTTTATGTAATTAATTTGAATTAAAATTTTCAAAATATTGAATAAAATTTACAAAATAAGAATTTTTAGTAGTTGTACTAAGATTTTAAAACTTGTAAAATAATAACTCCAAACTATAATATAATCATAATTAGTAAGTCAATTTGTATATTAATTATCTTCTAGTAAAATATGACAAATGCCAACTTTTGGATTCATAACTAAAATATTCTGCATAGTAGACTTATCTTAGATGAATGAATGAATGAATCGCCTGTATGTGGAGGTGCTTATATGGAATTGAAGAAATTAAATTTGATTTTCTATCCCCAAGTTTTAAAAATTTATGTGCATTAAATAATAAATTTAATTATAAAAAATAAATAAATAAATAAATCCTCCTCCTCCTTTTCTTCACCGCTGCGTTCTAGGGGTGGCAATAGTAGTAGGGGTGGTGGAGGAGAGGATCAAAGGCCAAGATTCTTTGATAAATTGGTGAAAAAAGAGCGCTGGGCAAAAGCAGAAACAGTACCTGGTCGACACCCAGAGAGATGGCGCAAAGACGCTGCTGGCAACATTGTTTGCAAGCGCTTTTGCAACTGCCATGGCTGTCTTTGTTTCGAGTACGATCACATCCTTCCCTTCTCTAAAGGTCTTCTTTCCTTGGCTTGCTCTTTCTCTAATTTTTTTGTATATATATATTTTTTATTTTTAGTTATTATATTTATTAAAATGGATTCATAGGTGGTTTTTCCCTTTTGAGCTAGTATTTTTTTTTTTTAATGATGTTTATAAAATATTAGATTTTTTCAGAAAAAAATAGGCACCATTATCTACTCAAGATCAAGGGATCCTGACTGACTAAATCCTAAAGCAATACTAATATTCAGTTTAGAACATGAACATACGTTAATTTATTTTTTGTTTTTTTTTATTATTATTATTAATTTTTACATTATCATTATTTCTTGGAAACTAAGAATAGAAGCTTATTGGTTTTGTTTCTGTAGGTGGTGAATCTAGTGCAGATAATTGTCAAATACTTCAAACAAGGGTCAATAGATTTAAATCAGACGAACAAAAGTTGAACGAAACTCAATTGAATGGTTAGTTTTGCGATATCAAATTCACTGGTATGAGTTTTTCGCTCTTTGATTCTGTCATACGAATTTTTCTATGTTTGCTCTTTATCTTCCTATTTTCTTGGCTATGGATTTCAAAGAGTTTGCTTGTGACTAATGAACGAAATGTCTGTTCCTTGGTTCATCTTGCATTGCTATTCGTCTTGATATCAAACCATTGTTTCATTTTGATCCAATTTTGCATCTAAACTGAAAGGATCTTAACAATCATCTATAATTTTGGATAAGAGTTAATAGAAACTGTTTTAGTATATTGCCTAAGTTCATTTGTTCTTTGAGGGTGGTGGGGTTAACAGCGATTGTGAAGGTGGTTTGGTTTCTAGAGCAGCTTCATAAATGCGAAGCTGACCAGTTTTTCTTGATTCCCGATCAGCAGCTTGACTTGGATGCTCCCTAAACTTTGTTTGTATTTTTGTGAGGTCAAAGGAGATCAGTATGTTCTTCGTATAATCAGGTTTATCAACTTTATAAATTGTCAATCAACTTCAGGTTAATTTGGCTGGGGATTTCTAACACAAGTTGGGCTGAGGTCTCTATGAGTTTACTTGTTTTCTGCATCACCTATCTCATTTATATAGACATTAATTTTATCAGTTTCCCACTTTCTAGTGATTGAAGGATCGCACTTGAGTCTGACAAATCTATCCAGTCATTAGATGTCTTGGCATTCTTATTGGTATGAAAGAGTCGAGCAAGCACCTGAAACAATGGGGACAGGTTTCAGGAAGATGGGTTTACTTTTGTCTGTTCTCTTGGCATCTTTTTCGTTTTTAGGCATAGACATGTCGGATTCATGCCGTAATTTAGCAAAAACTAAAAATTTAGCTAGCTCTGGTTTCCCTCGGAAGATAATTGTTCCCTGTTCCTACATTAAATAAAAAACAAATAAAAAAAAATAAAAAAAAGAAGCAAGCAAAAAGCATATGGGACATTCATGAGTAGTTTGTCTCTCTTTCAGTTTGGAATTGGAAAATGGCATGATTTATTATCTTTTGAAGTGATTGCGACCTTGTTGGCTGTGATGCCACATCTCAGTTTATGAAAACTGCTGTTTCTTTTTATAGAATCCATCATTTGTTAACCATAATGAATGATCCTACGTGTTCCCTTCTTCTGCAATCCAGCAATCCATTTGGATTTCTGTGCACATTAGACTTGAACTTTTTCAATGAATGATGTGTTGTTGGGAGTCCTTTTGTGTTGGACGTGTATCTGAATAATATCAAACGCTAGAGGATATTAACTAGTCTATAACTTCTGGATGCTAGGCTTGTTTAACTTTGACTGAACCAAATATATGCCTTTAAATTTAGTATCACAGAGGACATTACTGGTGTTGTAGCTGGAGCAGAGAGATATCAAGCTCAAGTTACTGTATTAGGAGTGTGCATTTATGCTTTTGATCTTACCCATCATCCTGCCTGGACATTTTAACTGATGGCCTGTTTTTCAAGCTTGTTCCCCATTTGGGTCACCCATGTAACCCTCGCCCCACCTCCCTTCTCACTTCCCAATTTGAAATGGCAGCTCTTGTGCTACTTGAAGACCCAAATCATTCACTTGACTGGTATCAAGTTTAATGCATTTTTTTCGTACATTTGCTTTCCTGATGTTTTTTTTTTTTTCCGAAATGATTATCACACCTTTTCCAATTGCAGATAAGGAGCTTGATATAATCGAAATGGCAGTTTAGTGGGATGTTATCAGACCTGGAAACAAGTTTTGTTGCAGAACTATTGCTGAAATGCTTGGCCAATACAAGTCAAAAGACCGTGTGGCTGCTTGTAAATTGCCATTTAGCTACGAATCTTTGTAGCATACGAGGATTAAAATCTCGTTTTGGGAGTCGGCGGAACAACTTGTTACTTGTATGATGGATTTGGTCTCATAAATTTTTCGTCAATGATTTTTGCACGCACCATCTTGATATGCTATCTGTCGACCGGAACTGAATCACCTAGTAGATTGTTTGAATACAATTTGATTGAATTGGATCCTTGTTGTCATTTCAGAAGCTGTCTTCATCTTCAACGTGGGATTGTTTACTGGTCCAAGATGGGATGAATTACCACGGTGGAAGATTCTTACCATATGCAGTTTTCAATAAGACCAGCACCTTGTATCCTTTTTTTCGGCGAGCGTTGAATATGTTTTTAATGGAAGGACAAAGGGCCTTGGATTTGATGGGCTAAATCTACCCCCGTATCCGATAAACGAGACCACTACATGAAGGGTGCAGACAAAACTGATGTGGACACCCATACAGGGGAACATTTTTTTTTTTTTTGGGCTTAGCATGTGAAGTGTTTTATTTTTTGTAAGAAACATTAAATTAATGTTTTTTTTTTTTTTTTTTTTGTGTTTTTGGATGATTTTGATATAAGGATGTTAATATTATAAAAAATAACTGGCAAAAAAAACCATGAAAAAGTATCTATAATTAAGAATGAGTAAAGGGTTAAATGGTTATTTAGTTTAGTTAAATGAATTAAGAAAGCTAAAATCGAAAACGAGCTGAAATAATAAAGCCACATGTGTCGCTTACTTGGTTAACGAAAATGATATCTTTGTCCTGCACCTGTCCTTGTTTTTTTCCTCTAAATTAAAAAAAAAATCCCATCCAAGTCTAAAAAAAGCGAAAAATAAAATAAAAAATAAAAAATAAAAAATCAATTATTTTTTCTGTACTGTAAACTGTCTCTCTCTCTCTCTCTTCCTACGATACTTCACCTCTCTTTTTTCCTGTTCCCTTTTCTTTCACTTCCTATGATACAACATCGATTTACCTCCCTTTTTCTTTATTAAAAAACTCTCTCAAACCTCTTTTACCCTGTTTGGATGGAGAGAAAAGAAAAAAGAAAGAAAATAGGAAGGAAAGAAATATTTTTCTTCGTTTGTTTTGAAGAGGAAAGCAGTGAAAAGAAAAAAATAATAGAAAAAAGAAAAATTGGTGGGATTCATTTTCTTTCCAAAATTGAGAAGAAACTGAAAGGAAAAATGTGGTACTTTTTTTTTTTTTCTTTCCGATCACGTTTTTGCCCTCCGACTCTCAATTGTCCCTCTCCTTTGCAAACCGTTGCAGTAACCAAATAGATCCGTAAATCAAGACAAGGCTACCGGCGTTACTCGCGCTTTCTCTCCGATTAGAACTGTGTTTCCTCCCTCTTTTTACATTATCCAAATAATTCTTTCATTTTATTTCTACTTTTATCCAAACAAAAAGTGAAAAATAGTTTTTCTTTTCTCTTTTTATTTTTCTTTTCTCTCTTTTCTTTCCTCCCTAGAGGAAATATCCAAACAAGAGGTTAGAGCTACAACACAACACCAATTCACCTTTCAAATAACCATTTCAGTTCTCTTTTATTGTCGACGGTACAACACCGATTCAAACCTTAAGTTATTTGATAGATCTCAATAATAATTTCATATGATTATTTAATATACTTTTTCAAATAAATTTATAAATTTATAATATTTTATGTTTAATTAATTAGAAGAAATAAAGATGTTGAGATTTAAACTAATAATTACTTAGTTAAGGAAACTCTTATATTATGTTAAAAAATTATTTCAATTTAAAAACTTAATGCTTTAATGTGTTAAGTGAGATTTTATAAATAACTTTATATGATTGTCTAACATTCTTCAAACTCCGACTAGCAAACCACCGGCCATTGTTTTTTGTAATGCTTCAATTTTTGACATTAATGAGATGAAAAATTACCTCAACACGTATCAATAAGAAGATAGTGACTTCAAAAATAAGTATATCTTAACAAATGATTTTATGTTTTTGAGATTCGAAGCAACAGTTCATTCCAAGTGAATCCAAGAGAAAGGACAATTTGAGATTGGTACGGTTTAAAGCTTTAACGTCAAATCTCACAAATGTCTATTTGTCGTTTAAAGCTGAAGGTTAGATGAACTTTTTACTGTTTGCTAGCCGGATTTTGGAAAAGGAAGGGAGGTCGATTGGTACTCCGTTACCGATGGTGAAAGAGGGAGGAAAGGAGAGGGAGAAAGAAGGTTCAGGTTACAAATAAGATAATTGATTTTTATTATTTTATTAATTTCGTGCTTTTGTTCTAAGAGAAAGGGTAATATATATATATATATATATATAATTTGGAGAAGAAAAAGACGCATACAGGAGACACGTGTTATTTTTTATTTGTCGCTTGATCTCACATGCGGTCAAAATTAACAAAAGGAATTTTTTTATATATATAATCAAACAGTAGCTTATGGTAATCAAATTATATATATAAAAATAAAATTTAAGATTATGACCTTATTATCAATAAATTGTTGATTTAGTAATAAGCATGAACTTTTTTTTTAATATGCAGGTTCGATCAAATTTTATCGTTTTCGTTCTAAATAAAATTAATTATATCTCTGATATATAATAAGAATAAATGAATGAAAAAAAAAACGTTAGTTTTAAAAAATAGAATAACAAACTAGCTGAAAAGTTGCAAACAATCTGGGTAGTAGTTAATGGTTATGCCACAGTTTCCTCATTGAGCTGTAACTACATTTTTACTTTCTACTCCAGTGAGGAGAATCAGAAGTTACATTTCCTTTTACACGTTGCTCACAAATATTTCCGCTTGCACAACAATCGCGTGATTTCACAAGAAAATAACAACTTCCACTTCGTATGATGCCTACTGACTACACTGCCACTACAACAACACCTAGCAACAACTAGACACTCGATTTCTTTCAGTCAATTTGGATGAGCTACTCGTTTATGTCAGTTTCATCTGTCTGTCTTTTCCATCCATCTCGTATTGCAAATTGCTGCTCCCGCTCTGTGCTTCATACAGGCATAATCAATTCTTCCATACTGTCTCTCTTCTCATCATAATTCATTCCATTCTCGACTCCGTTTTGAACCATTCTTTGCTCAGATTTGCTTGGTGTTGCAAGGATCTGCAGAACAAGAATACAGAATTTGAGTACCAAATAGGTTTTTCTGTCACACTGAGTACCGGTTATACTGACAAGCAAGGCAAAGAAGTGAAATGAAAGAACCACCAAACTGGGGTTGCAAGAGATCGCTCTTATCCATACTCAAATTTGAGTGTGTCATAATTCACTAAATGCGTATTGAGAAATAGATAACAGCACGATCTTTATGTCTCTATTCAGTGATCATTCTATACTAATAATACAAAGCAGCAAAATATAAAATTATGTAGCACCAAATGAGTGCTGCCAATGCAAGCTATTAAGAATCAAGTCCTGGAATAAAGGAATGGATGCAAGCCATCAACTCTACCGAAGCACTTTGTTCGTCAGCAAAAGCATTCCGCGATCATATTCATTTTTTTATTCCAATTATGCGACTTTTCACAGTATAGGCCAAGAGAGAACCATCACTTCCCTAGAAGCATCTTTGCTATGCCAATAATATACACCTAACAATGGGATTCCTAGAAAAGGGAGTTCCTCTACGCCTTGCTGAGCGAGAACGCACAGAATATTTTCCAACTTGCTGTCACTCTCAGCAATTAGCAATAAACTGGGAGTCAATTTTACGGATGTAAATACTTGCTTCTTTTGTTAGACATAACGGTACAATACAAGTTTATGAGGATTTGTTTAAATGCATAATAGGCAATCATGACATAAACATCAGGCAAGGGCATGCATTGCAAACCCAACCATGTTCTGTTGTTCTAATAACGGTTCACACTTCACAGGATGGATCACAGCTTTTGATTCAGCGTAATAAGAGTGATGAGGGAAACTATTTCATGAGAGGAAGTGACGTACCTTGGCTCTAAATGTTTTGATGACAGAAATCAGCAGCTTGTCCCCTGCAATCTTTCTCACTTGCTGTATTAGTTCTTGTCTAGAAATCTTCTTTGCCTGAAGCAGAAGTGCAACATTGTGAGATCATATGATCCTACAGATCGTACACCTTTCGAATGCTTATTCTACAATAAATCCAATTCAATTACTTACTCTGTGATCTCTATAATGCTTGATAATCAACTTGGTAGTAGTAGGAGGCAAGAACTTTGAGAGTGCAGAAATAAGAGCAGGAAACGGCATCCAAGGTGAAGTTGGCATCCTCAAGGATTCTGGAATTCTGGAGTACCCTGCACAATCAAACAACCAAAACCATATGATGACAATTCAAAAATCGTCAACAAACAACTTCCCAATCACAACACATCATCGCACACTAAGATTGTGGATGACCCACCTTTCAAACAAGGAGGAGCCCTGAAACTTATCACATACTCTGGCAAAATATGAGTGTTCATATGGGTACTCCACACAATATACTTCTTAGGAGATGACAAATTGTCAATTCCTGAATCGAACTCCTCAGAACTCGGATGATACTGATCAGAACCCGGGTGCACAACCTCTGACTTCCCCAGAATAATACGGCAAAGCAACAAATGCCGCAGACCATCCTTATCAACATTCAATTTCTTCACACTGTAAAAAACAGGATAATAATTAAGAAGCATAAACTTTAAAAATTACGCAATAGCTAATAAAATCCTCTAGACTAATTACTCAAGTTATTTAACATCAAAGCAGATCAAAACAGAGCAAACAGAGAGAATCAATGGAGAGAAATCATTTCTTACCATTCAATGGGAGAATCATCTGGAGAAAGATAAATGCCAGAACCATATAATCCATTACTGTTAGCAACCATTCGTGCACTAAAACCGTGCTTCATAATCTCACATATCTCATCTCTTGTACCACCATACCAACCAAACTTAACGTTCGCATCGCCGCCACTCTTCTTCTCCGTTGCTTTCGCAATAATCTGAAAGGATTGCATCCTAGCTTGCTCCAAAACACCAGAGTAAGAGTTCCTATGAATGTCAACAACTGTTGCTTGCTTGCCAAGCAAACCCAAACCATAAATGAATCTTCGCTTAATTAGATCATGAACTCTATAACCTTCGAAAAGTCGAATCAACCCATCATTGAATGATGGGAATTGACTAGAACTGACACCCGAACTAAAACTTTCGCAATCGGAAACAGCTGATTCTTGATCGTGTGAGGGTGTGCTATGAGTACTTTGGTAATTTGTAGGATTATGTAAAGAATGTTTTGGTGAGTTGTCAGAAGTAAAATCATTGAAACCATGCGTGATCCCACTGGTATTTCTGACTTGAACTGGTGAATACTCCATAAGTACAGAAGTCCGGCGTACGAAGAAGAGATTTAAATTCAATGATTGAAACAAACGAACAAACCAGACTTAAAAAATTCACAGAGAAACAGAGATTCTTTCTTTTTTCTTGAATATATTGTTAAAACTAAAAAGGAACTTGGCTATAGAAAACAAACTTCAATTCCATATAAAACCCAGAAGATATTGAATTGAAAAGGGGGATTTGATGGAAGAATTAATTATAAGAGGAAATCAAAGAATTGCAAGTATAGGCAGGAAGTAAAAAAGAAATGACTTAGTGGCCAAGAAAAAGAAAAATCGAGAAGAACAAAGGAAATTAAAAGAGAGAGAATTAATTATAAGGTGTGCAGATTGCTATTTATATATACATACACATATTTAAGCTTAAGCGTGTTGTTTATGTGTGTGAAAGTATTTGAAAAAAGCAAAGGGGAGAGAGAGAGGCTTCGTTTTTGCCTTGTGTTTTTTGGGTTGCTTGGAGAAGAGGGAGAGACGAGGAGCTTTGAAAAGGAGTTATAAATATTAACGGAACCGCCCTTTTGTTTTGGTTTCCGTTTGGCGGTGCGTGGTTTGGTGTGTTGTGGTAGGCTGCGCCGCTAACTGTTTTCTTCTTTCTTACTAAACAGGGAAAGCCTGCCTGTCGTTTTTATTTTTATTTTTATTAATAAAGTCATATTTGTCGGTAACTAGTTTTTCAAACCATATCAGAACACGAGAAGGCTCTTTTTTTTTTAGTTTTTTATTATTATTTGATTTTGTGTTCTTGTAAACATGGTGAGGTTATTGAACATGCTATTATCTTCAAGATATTTCCTCTTTCCTCTTTTGGGAGTTTATAGGATAATATTACATCTACAACATTCAGACTCTTTTGACAGATCAGCGTCAGGAGTCAGGGATTTAAATGCACAAGTGTATGGATCATGGAAGCAAAATGATTTTGATTTTTTTTATGGTACTATTGAGTTATCATTAGACCCAAGTTGGCAGAAATATCAGTTTTAGCCGACTTGTGCACCCATCTCCTGTTATATAATAATAAATTAAGTCATTAATTTTTATTTAATTATTGTTATGGAAGAGGCTGAGGACGAGTTTGAAAAAGAGTAAATTATAAATTAGTCCCTCTTTATTTACAAAACGAATTAAATAGTTATTCTTGTTTTAAGAATTAATTAATTTTTTGATAATGTTAATCATAATTAATTTAATATTATATTTTTTTAGAAAATATCTTTTTTTCTCATTATTTTTTTTTGTATATTTTTCCTTTTTTATATTGCTTAATTAAAGCAAAAAATTAAAAACAAAAGCAAAAATTACTAGCTATATATAGTTTAATAACATAGAGATTAATTAATGATTTTTGCAAACTAAAAATACTATTTAATTCATTTCAAAAAATTAAAAAGACTAATTTATAATTTACTCGTTGACTTCGTTTTTTCCAAAAAATACATGTGGAAAAAAATTAAACACAGTAGATATTTGAATAAGATTAGTTGTCGATGGCACAATAGTAAATTTGATAAGATATATGCAATCTAAATATACAATATGATTATATTATAGTATAGTACTAGTTTTTTGTACCTACACTATGTTGCGAATTGAATAAAATATATAAAATCATTCAGAAAAATCATTTCAGCTTTAATAGTCCGCTTTATAATATGATTCTATAAAATTATATGAAATCAAATGTGAAAAAAATTATTTATAATTTTTTAATAAAAAAATTTGTATTTAACTATTTCTTATTTGGGGTTTTCATATTTTTTCCTTTAGAAAAAGGATTTATCCTTGTTAATCCATGGATTATTAATCAAAAAGATAATTAAATAATTTTTCTTATAAAAGCTTTAGTAGTTCATAAAATTATGTAAAAAAAAATAAAAATTATTAAAAGCTTACATCGAATTGAAAAAAAAATTATTTAATGTTGATGAGAATATCGATTTTTGAAAAAATATAAATTTAATTTTTATATATTCATTTACAAAAAAATGAACAATATTAAAATAAAAAACTATATTAATTTGAATCATTGAGTGGTTAAGCGAAAACATAATTTTAATTATTTAATTTAAAATAAGTTAATTTTAAAATATTCAAAAACCAATAAATAAATAGTAAGTGCTTAGTGTAGTAGTAGTTGCACAATTAATTTCTAAAAAAACAAGAATTCAATATTTTTTTATACATCATAACTATACTAAGTGAGTTTAGAGTTTTCAATCTAAAAACAAATACTATAAAAAAAATATTAACTTGCAAGGAATCTATTGACTAAATTCAAAGTTAATAAACTAAAATAAAAATTATTAAAAATTTGATTTCAATTAATTTTGATTGTATAAAGAAGGAACAAATTAATAAAACATGTGAATTCTTTTTCTTTTTTTCCTCCTTCTTAAATATTTTTTATTTATTTCTATGCTATGCATGGCTAGTCCTTAAACATAGGTCTCACGCGTAGAGCAGCCATTTTCTTTTTATTTTTCACATTTGACTTTTAACTATTAATTAATTAATTAATTAGAGTTTTTTTCAAAAAAAAAACCAAGAAAAAATTATTTGAAATACACTTTGAATCTAAAAATGTATTCTAGAGAAATTATATATATTAATCATGCCACTATAATTTAAAAGTTATCTAATCTATTTTTCAAAAGAAAAAATAATCATTTTCTAAAAAATTATTCTAAAATTCATACATATAGAAAAATAAATCAAAACCGTCAGTAAATACAATTTTAAATTAATCGAATGAGAATTAAAAAAAATAAAGTATTAAATTTTAAATAATTAACAAAAAACACTAAAACAAAATGGGTCCAAATCACAATATAATCAAAGTTTGAAATTGAAAAAAAAAGGATTTAAAAAATGACAAATTAATGTAATAAATTTTAAATAATATAAAAAATTGAGAAAAAATTATTTGAAATACACTTTTAATTTAAAAATGTATTTCGGATAAATTATATATATTAATCATGCCACAATAATTTAAAAATTATCTAAGTTTGAAATTGAAAAAAAAAAAAAGAATTTTAAAAAATGATAAATTAAAATAGTAAATTTTAAATAATAAAAATAATTAGCAAAAAACATTAAAATAAAATGGGATCAAATCACAATACAATTAAAGTTTGAAATTGAAAAAAACCATAGAAAAATTGAGGGCCAAAGTGTTACAAAATGACATGAATAGTAAAAGGAATAGTGATTTGTGAGAGTGTAAATAATGTTTTAAATAGTAAATGAATAATAAATGATGGTTTTATTTTAATTTTATTGATAATAATAGTGTCTCTAACTTTTTTTATTTTTTATTTTTTTAGCAAGCCAATTTCATTACTATAATATTTAGTTTCCATTCTATGATTATATGTGGCATGTTTGTATTCTCTCTCCTCTAATTGCAAAAAATTGAAAACACGAAATTGTAACTTATTTTAGGGGGGGGGGGGGGGTGACATGGATTTAAGATGATCCTATCACAAATTTTCATGATCAAATACTTTTCAAATTATTTGCTAACCAAATACGGAAAATATTCAAACGCTCTAGCTAAAAGTAATCACTACGTACTTTGTATTCTATTTATTTAAATTAAACCATAAGTACTAATTGATATATACTCTTTTTATTTAAAAAAAATTATTTTTTAACTTTTCATATAGATTAAGAAAATTATTAATTATTAATTCATATCAGTATTTTTTTTCTAAAATATTTTTTATCGTTGTATTTGGACAAATTTTATAAATAGACTTTAATTAATGATATTTTAAAAAATACACTATATATATATAATAGAAGGACCATCATATTTAAGAATTATTTATATTTTTATAAAAAATAAAACCAAATTTAATGTGTTAATAATAGATATTTTTGAAGTACGTCGTCGAGTAGATTCCAACCAGCCCCTATCCAATTACAATACCAAACAAACACCTATTAAATCTTTTGTGAAGAGTAATTCGGATTGTGATAATTTGTTCGGACCATTGGCGGTGTAATATTTAAAGAGTAGTCGTTAATTCTCTAACGTGGGGGTGTTAATTGTTGATCGTGTTTATGTGGTCAAGCTTCAACATACTTGCAAAGGAAGGAAGATACGTTCTGATCGGTTAGCTGATATAACCGTAAATCATCGAGTGGGAAACGGGTGAATCAAGGATTATTACAGGGTGGGGATATCTGCAGTCTCAATGCCTTATACCCACGCTTCCACAAATTAACTTAATTATTTTTATATAAACTGACAACTATAATTTTTAATAAAAAAATTTATTCAATCTTTCTATACTTTTTTTCGCTTTTGCCTCGCTCTCCTATTCTCCTATAACTACGTGTGGATTCCAATTTATGATGACAATGATTTCTGTTCGTATTTTAAGTGAAAATTGAACAACAGCAGTTCTTACACTAACTTAACGTACAACCATTGATTTTCTCTGTATCAGAAGTTGCCACAGTAAAACAACTTCTTTTCACTCTTTCAGTAAACTTTCCCCAGTAGCTTTCCTTTCTTTCTTCCAGTAAGAGATGAAGCTGACTTGGCATTAGTCTAGCCACGTGGAAGCCACATCATCTAACTGATTAATTATAAGATTAGTTAGTTAGTTAGAGGATTTGTTAAAGTTTGTTAAGTAGTTAGTGGGTAACAAACCCCGTTTCTCTTCAGTTCATTTTAGCAATATATATAGGGCTGTATACACTGTAAATTGGTAGCTTGAGTATTGTATGCTTGATTCATGTAGCCAATTTTTGATATGAAATAAAACAAGTAGCGAATTTTTGCCTTCTTTCATGGTATCAGAGCTCTAGGTTAAGCTCTTCTTTCTTCTTCATCTTAAACTTTTTTGGCTGTATCAATCGCGTCTGTTTAATCTACTAAAGATTCTCAGTGTCCATTCTTCTTTCATCATACTAATAATCACAACACTGTGATTGTTTCTCCACAACTTCTCTCAAGCAATTAT